ACTATATTTACACTTTACTGGAAAGGAGCAATAAATCTTGAGAAAACTCGGACATACGTGTTTCCAAGTTGCCAAATATATAACAGACAAAGGAGTTCAGAACAAGCGATGATGTGCATCAAACGAAAGGATCACAGTCAAATTTAGCACCAAGTAAAAAAAAACCATGAGGCTAGATCTATATGGGTCGCACACTTAGAATAATGCTCAGTATTGCGTGACAATGCGCGATAGTATCGAAGGGAAGTACGACTTGAAATAACAAACCTGGCGGATTTTCTAAAATTACATAAAAGGGGTGTGTATCTCTAAAAAGGCCTACAAAAGCGATTGGCGAAATAAAGAAATTTAGCTTTTTACAGCAAAACTGTCTCAAAACTGAAAACAACGAAGGACGTCATGATCTGGAGAATATTTTAAAGAATCATTTGGCAAAAACCACATGTCGATCGATGCAGCCATTAAAAAGCCTTTTGAATAGCAACATTCGGCCACCCCAAATAGATTATAGATGAGGAAAACTGGGAAAAAACAAACAATATTCAGTTTAATAAGAGGACGTTCTCTCTCTCACTCTCTCTCTCTCTCTCTCTCTCTCTCTCTCTCTCTCTCTCTCTCTCTCTTTCTCTTTCTCTCTCTCTAAGAGTTTAAGGAGCTTCCTCCAAAACACACAGACTATAACCAGCTCCACCTTATCTCCGAGCAAGACTAAACTGGAGACCTTAATCGAATAAAGAAGAAGAGTGGTTTTTGCATAAAAGCGTCTGGCCAGCCATACATCAAAACATTAGCAATTATTTCTATATGCATGTAGATATCGATGCCAGCATCTGGGGTGTAATAAGCTCTTTTCTGTTGCAAGCAGGGGGCAGAAGTGGATTTCCCGGTGAGGGAAGTTATTTCAATAAGTAGCATCTCCGTCTGTCTGCTTTATGTAGCATCCCACTGAGCTCACATTCTGAATGGGCTTTACACGAAATATCAGAATCTGTATTTAAATAGAACAGTCACACTGTAAAAACACGTGAAGAAATGAACACACTGAAAATCACTTTTTAATGATAAAAAAAACAACAACTTTGTTTTCAAAGTTTAAACCCCATTGTTCTTTCAAATGAAAAACAAAACAAAAAAAATAAGCTCCCATTAAAAGCAAAGACAAAAGCAAAAACAAACAAATAAAAATCCAAAGGAACAAACAAACCAAAACAAAAAAATAGTTGCCACTTTTAATTTTTTTCCTCCAACATTTTAAAAATAGGCGGTCTGGTGTGATTTGTTACGGACTTCTTTGCTATCAAATATCTATCGTCCTTATCTCCTCTCCTTTTAGTGTTGTTTGTTACTCTCTTGTAATTTATTTTATCTTCAGCACTTATATGACCTAACTGTGTTGAAAGTGCTGTAAAATTCTTACTAAAACATAAAACAAAAATACTATTTCATGGTATATTAAAGTGTTTTGTCCTGAAGCCCCATGGGGGGACAATCTAAATTAAAACGTGACTCGTCTTTCTTTTTACAGTCTTTATATGAATATTGTTTGTATAAATTCATTTTTCGTGTCTATGAAAACCTCTACATGATATCCTCCTCAAAGCACACTTACTATAATCAAACGCATGTAATCGACCAATACAACTTTTCTGAAAACACAAACTGCATAAAGGGCGTCTGGCTACACATTAAAACAACAGCAATCATTTCTATTCATGTAGATATCAATACCCGCGTAGGGAATATAACAGGTTCTGTCCTGTTTTGCGCAGATGAATTCCCGGGTGAAGACCTTATTATGCTGAGTGGGAACCTGGTTATTATTGAGTAGTATCTCTGTGTCTGCTTGTTAAGCACGATATTATGCATAGATAGATGCAACCTGCGAACATCCTTTCAGACTGGCAAGCTTATTATTGATAATAAAGCTTTAAAAAAATACAAAAATTAAGCAACACCAACACCCC